ATATTGCTAAAGGCATTCTCTTCTAAGTGTATACGGTTCATCTGATTCCACTGATATTAATGATCTTCATTTGATACTCATTGAATCAATAAACTTCCTATCAATTGATTTCTTTTCTCGTTGATTTAAGCTATCAAATAGCTTAAATTTTAAGAATGAAATTAAACGATTGTGACTTATATTGAAGTTTTTTTTCAATGATTAACTATCGGCCTGGCACTTTACATTGTGCTACTCTAATTTATTGTGATGCGATCAAATAAAATTTGGGTTTTCTCTTACCCAATAATTAAGTATAGTACATTATTTTCAGTGAGTAAAATAAAAACAGTTATCGATGATTTAATTAGAAACATTTTCGGGTAAAGCTTGAACATTTAAAAATAGAACGACATACTTCTTATTTCTAGTGAATCAAGTTAAACTATATTTCGTTGACGAGCATCAGATATCTGCCATCGTTTCAGAGTAATTACTGACATGCAAGCATCTCAAGTCAAAACTCAAATCGAGCAGACATGAAATATGAATTCTACTTAATATATAATATTACTTTTAGTACTTGAAATAATTTAACTCTCGTCTTGGGTGCTATAAATTTTTACATAATTGGAGATAATATAGTGAAATCTACTAATTTGATATGTTTCTGATTGTTTTTGTAGTAGTCTAACCCATTTTATTTCAAACTTAATTTGGTCACTTGTATATAATTGGCAAAAAAAAGCATTTTCGTACAGTGCATTGAATTCTAATAAATCTACAAAATATTCTGATCGTTTCGCAACGTATAATCCTGATTCCAGCAAGAAAGAAATATTTAAGCGAAGAAAGGATTAAAAACAAAAACAAAAACTTAGATTATCACCTTCTTAATCAGTATAAAACGCTGACTGCTCTCATAAAAGATTAAAAATAATAAGTAAACGTTATAGGATGTCTATAGCAAAGTGTGAGTATGTCGAGAAAAAGTGTAAGAAAAATGGCAGCAACGTGTGAAACTAAGCGAATTCTAAGAATTGAGTGAATTCAAACTATGCACGACATTCAAATAATGAGAGATACACATAGATTTAAAAGTACCCGAAGAAGTTTAATATCAGAGAGTTTTTAGGGTTTGCAAGATTTCAAGAAATTTATATCAACCTAGAAACACATATACGTCGAGGAATGCAAGGTAGTTTGAAAAATCCTAGGAATTTTAAGATTGCCAGCAACCTGATGAAACAAAAGAATCTGTGAAATATGAGTGTGTGAGTGTTAGCGCAACAGCAAACATTATACCAACACCTTTCTTTCTACATCCACACCCCGGTACAGGTAGTGGATAAGACCAGTTTAGATGCAATTGACGTAGTCATACATAATGAATTTTGATACGTATATGTTTTTAACTCTTAAAATTAAAGTCGTTTTTCAGATCAGAGAACAAGTCCAGAAGCACATGAACAAAAATGTATATATGAACCTGTAAATGTTAAAATGATCATTTCACTTGTATAATTTTCATTTTATTCTTTAAATACAAATAAGTCAAGTTTTATGCCAGAACGCAGCTAGAAATAACAAACGACAGCTGAAGGTGATTGTCGTTTTACAGTTGAAAATTTCATCTCAACGAATCTGGTTTATGCTAGCATTGTCTCACGTCATAATGATATCTAGTCAAAGTTTATATGAAGTAAAATAACATCTTGCTGTGTGCAAACTATTATATAGTTCAACTACATCTAACACATACATGAATAATTGAGTTTTTTTTGTTTTATTTAAAAGAGAATCATTAATGATATCTGTTAACTGCTGTATTCAACTTTCATCTTAATTATCTACTTGATAAATCCAGAAAACAATTCTATATATCGTGAACATATTTTTTTTCTCTCACATCTTAATATTGTTGAATTGATAAACGGATCATGATTGGTTGAAAAAATGAAAATGGGAAATATAGAATCATTCTTACCTGATGTCATTTTCTTGGAAGCAACACTGGCAGGTTGCATTGGTGTCACCATTGTTGATGTCGATGGAGAAAATGTACTTGGTTTATGAACAACCGAAGGAGACTTTTGTTCGTTCGATTTAGAAAATGGTGGTTTAACAAGTATAATTGGTGGTGTAATCTCTTTTAGTTGAATAATATGAAGCTCAGGTGCTGGATTTAATTGACCCAAGACTTCGAAGTATGAACCTGGCATAAGGATAATTTCTTTTTCGGTATTTTTGAAATATGAATGCTTTGCAGCAGATTTTCCATTAATACATTCAATTGAAAAAAGAGTACGTTGTCCATGTTTACCCAAAAATTGATTTTTTTCTAGTACTTCAATATGAGTCGTACAAGAACTTACTCCCCACCAGGCGAATTTCATACCAGTTTTGTATTTAGAACTTAAATCAACATCTCGAATACCACGCCATACTGTTCCACTTTGCGATGGCAATTTATGTAGTGCAGTAAGAAATAATTTAAGAAATGAGAACCATGGTGTCAATTCTTGACGATTTTCAGCACGTAATGATTGATTAAGTAATAGATACAAGCTTGGTCCACCATCAAATTGCATTGTATAAAGATGTATAGAAGCTGATTCTTGTTGACTTAATCCATCCGCTGGATTTTGACAATTATGTAATGCAACAAAAACATTGTCTTCAATCTCATTAAAAAACCCAGCAACGGGTTCAATAGCTTCAGTAAGTGAAACAAGTGGTTTATCTTGATAACCTTTTATTGGGGATAAAAGGTGATCTACAGGTTCATTGTCAAGATCAGTGAAACGAGATTTATCACCAGACTGCAATGCTTTGGCCATATGATTTATTGCAATTCACAACAAAGAATAAATTTCAATAATCTAGAAAAAAGAAGAAATAATAGAATCACTATTGTTTTAATTTCAATTTAAATAATACGAAAACATAATGATGAAGAAACGAATAAAAGCAAAACAAAGCATACAGTTTGATGTTTCAACCTACATAGTATACGCTCGTATGGAAACGCTTAGGGTGGTGTCTGAGCTGTGGATGTGTAGTGTGACTGGATGAGGATGGGGATATGTGCGTGCGTATGATTGATTATGAGTGTCTTTCCTACATCCACACCCACCATAATTATGCTCTTATTCAAGGAAAATAGCCTAGGAATCCGTGTATTATATTCAGTAAATGCCATAGTATTCTAATATCAATTGTAGTCAATGAAAACCAACGTCGGAGTGTGGATGTTTCACCGAGTACCGATGTGAGCTTGATCAGAGTTTACTGAGCGTCGATATCATAGTGGGTGTCAGTGCCGCAAGGAACATTGACAAGTGTAGTCAATGGATGTCGATGTCAGTGTACTCACAATGTCGATAAAACTGATACCAATATAGTGAATGTGTCAATGAACACCCGTGTGAGATGCTAGTAAACAATTTATTGAAGTTGCACGTTCCTCAATTTTCCCTAAAGTTAGATATGAAGGAACTTCTAAGCACACTCATGTAAATATATATTTCATCCAATTTCTGTACTCCAACAATGCAAAAGTACGCTTTTCTCCTCTTTGACGCTACTGGATGCATGGATCGATTCTCAGAAACTTTTATGCTGTTCTCCTAACACATTCCTTTGTGATCACAAACTTTATGAGTCACGTAAAGACATCAGCCAACATCCAAAAGAAATTCATGACTAACCGGACACATTGACCAGTTTCTTGAAATCATTATGGTGTCCTTCTAACTCATTCCCACGTGATCCGAAAGGCTTTGCAATCAAATGAAAACATTCGCTAGTAACCTGAAACATTTGGTTCTGACTCACACATGCTCCCATGTTGTTCGAAAGTCTTCATGACCACCAAAACATATCCGTGGATATCTTAAAGATATTAGCAACTAGGGTGATAGATGCATCTGTTCTGTGCGAATTTTGCCGCTTCACCTCACACATTTCTTTGTGATCAGAAAGCTTTCGCCGTGGCTCACTCATATTCCTTAAATTTTGTGGTTCTTCACCTTTATGTTCAGACTCACTCAAAGACAAAGGTCGGTTCTCTGAAACTTTTCCTCTCCGTTATGCCAATTTATCTGGAAGCCAAAAGTCTTCGCCGTCATTTAGAGACATTTGACCGTAGCATGAATTTTTTTCTAAGGCACCCGACATATTTAGTGGATTCTCTAAATTTTTGCTATTCTTTTGTCGTCACTCATAGACATCCCTCGAAGACTCAAGCTTTTCACTGGCAAGTTCATACATTGTGGGCTTTTAAAGCACATTGCTCTTTCTCTCGCAAATTTCTGTGATATCGACAAGGTTGGATGGTGTGGATGTGGATGTGGGCGTGGGTGTAGAGCTGGTATTCATTCACATCCACACCCAAACCTACACACACCCCTGCGCACCTAAATCCACATGACACTCAGAATCGCTCGTCTGAAGCTTTTACTTTTCCTCTTGTTGACTTCTGTGAGATTACGAAGTTTCCACCATCATCCAGAGAAAGGTTTTTCTTCGATGGAAAAACTTTCGTCCCCTCTGACAGACATTCATCACAGGATGAAACCTCTGTTGCTGCCTCCCCCATGGCAGTGGTTGCAAGCTTTTTCTTTTCCTTTTGCAAATCATCCTGTATCCTAAAGCATTTGACTGTTATCCAGACATGTTAGTTAGTAGTCTAAAGCTGTGTGTGGCTATGTCGAGACAGGGTTGATCTCTGAAGCTCTTTTGCTTTTTTTCTCATCGATACCTTTAAAGCTGAAAATCATTTTCCATCTCCCACAGATATAAGTCACCACCTTGAAGCTTTTCTCAAGCATGTAACACATTGATTGATTCCCTGAAATTTTTACACACACCCTCTAAAACATTCCTGTGTATTGAAACAGATCCCGCACTTACTCATATGCTTTTCGCGAACGCTGGAGCTTCCCCTATTGCATACATAGATAATAGGCTTCTGTGACCACACTCAATTACTCTCAGAAGTTCTTCTATGATGCGAAAGCTTTCGTCGTCACTGAAAGACATTGCTCTGTGGCATGAACGTTAGTGCAGCTAACCTGACATATGAATTGGTTTCTAGAACTTTTTTGCTGTAGCACTAACATACTTATCTGCTATTCTAAGTTTTTTGCCAGGTCTGGGTATGGTATGTGGGTGCTTTTTGAAACACTTTATTTCTCTCGCATTCACATCTACACTCACTCTCAAATTCAGATCCTCACCTACATCGATATCCACACCCTACTTCAAATGTCTGTACGTATTCAACTTAACAGCAAGGCATGACTTTACCTTCTGAAGCTTTTGGCATTCACTTTCAAGTATGATTCGATGGTCTAAAACTTTGACATTGGCCGTCGTGTACTTCTTTATAGTTTCAAGCTTTTGAAATTAACCAAAGAACCTTCCTGAGGCTTAGCCCTTTTTTCTTCACATACGCACACCATACGATGAGTGGTCTAAAGCCTTTTTCACCATATTGATTGTCAATTGCTGTTGAGATCTACTTTTTCCCACATAGCTTCAGCAAAAGCTCTGTACCTCACAAATCTTCCAGGCACTCACACTGAATGTTAACAAGTGAATTTTCGCCAACTACTAGTTAAAATCTTTTCAGCTCATCTCTTGATCCTGAATGAGCCTTGGCTAAACTAGAAAAAACTCAAAAATATTTCCTCTAGAGGTCTTCTGTATGAAGTTATATTACCATTATACTGTCTTTTCGGCCCATAGCATGATATTTGGTAGAAAGGAAAATAACACAACTGCAACCTTATATTTCGCCTTCGATGAGATCCCGTAACGTTTACAATATATGAAAAATTCCGACAAAAATGGATGCTGCTTCCTCAAAAGATTGGATGTAGGAAAGCGATCATATGTTGGAGAAGGAGCAGAAAAATCGACTGTTCCTCGTCATTTAGTATTTCTAGTAAAAAAAAGCAGCCATTTTCTCAGAGACTCTGAAAATATTCTAAGTGTCAGAAGGGCTCTTTGTTGAAAAATTATCAGTATAAAATAACGTAATTTGCTTTCTTGCTAAATACTTTACTGTTGGTAAAGATCACTGTAGAACGGTGCTAATTCCAGAAGAACGGCCTATGCCAAAACATCCTTGTCAAATTTTTTCTAGTTAACCAATCTCTATGTAGCGGCAAAATATGAACTCAAATACTTTCAATCTGTTATAGGAGTTCTTCGACAATCAGTCCCAACACTTTTATGATGTCACAAGCATCCTTCAATGTTCAGAAGCTCTTACACGTCACAAATGTAGATTTCTCCAGTTTTTTTAAGGGTTTTTCACTTACTCAGAGGAATCACTGTGTGGTCTTAGTATATATTTTTTTCTATCATTCAATAGCATTCCGCATTGCTCTAATGGTTTTTGAAAGAGCCCTTGAAAAGTACGCCATATCATAAAGCAAATAGGATTTGTTTGACTCGCCGTTGATTGAATTCACTGGTTTCCATCTTTCTACGGTATGATATAAAGCTCAAGCACTTCACAAAAGGTCTTTGCAACATGTTCCATAATATGACGCTTTTTCAGCATAGTTTCACGAGTCACTGTCTGCTCATTATTGGTCGATCATATCAGTTGCACAGTAACGTAGAGCTTTATCGAAAGCTCTCTTCCAACGATTATGTAACATGAGAACTTTCTGAATTCTTTATGACTGGTTACCCGGTGCCTGCAGTGGTTATCCATTATTTTTGGGTATGTCACAGAACTATAAAACTCTTTCGATAAGTGCTCGAAGGAATTCTCTTACAAAATGTTTCCCAAATTAACTTTTACAAATCGTTATACTGGCTACCTGTTTTTCTATCACACCCAGTGAATGGACTGTTACTCCGAAGGCTTTCAAATAGATCTTGAGTGGCATTCTTCGACATAAACCTTGCCGAACATCATCTTAGTATCTGTTGCGTGTCCATTGTTTTCCGATCGCAGCGTTTGCGCAGTACTCAGACATTTGTTTAACTCAAGTGTCTCCCTCAAGCTTTAGTATTATAAAGCAACTTGACTTAGTCCTATTAACCGTCGGTTGGCTTCACAGGCTTTACAATCACACCAAGGTACTACACAGTTCTCAGACGCTTTTTGACTCATCCTTGCGATGTAGGTGCGCGTCGCCCAGTGGGCTGAAGCTTTTGTGATATTATAATGTAAACTATTCTGTGACTTAGGTCTTTGCTCGTCAGTTCAGATGTATCCTTATGTGGCTCGACTGTTTTTCTCAAGTTATCGAGCATTCGTAAGTGCTCTGAAGGTCTTTTGGTGCTTACTCTGAAAAATCATTTTGTCGTCTAAGTGTTGTTCTTAGTTACTCGCCGGTGTCGCGTAAACATCTGTACCCAAGGGGGAAAAGCGGCTCCTTGGATCCTTGGCTTCTGGCAACTTCTTTTAGATTCTAGCGGATTCGGTGATTCCTGATGGATCCTGGCAGCATTTAACAGAAGCCACCAGGACCCGCTAGAATTCAAAAGAAGCTGCCAGAAGCTGGCAGAATCCATAGAATCCTCCAGAAGCCAATGATCCGAGGAGCCGCTTTTTCTCACTTCTCTATAGCACTTTCTGCTGGCTGTCGCACTTTGTTGTACGATTTCAAGCTTTTCCTTTTGCCCTTTGTACAGTGTTTTGTGGCTTGATATTTATTGCCTGTAGTTTCAACAATTCCTTCATTGACTAACGGCTTTTGCTCTCTTTCTCACAAATCGACACCCGAACGAAATTTTTTCCACTTAACCTTTTGAATTGCTTTCCAATATGAAGATTCTTACCAGTCTTGTCTGGAACTCTGGTATTCTATCACGT